TGTTAACAGTGACCTCTCACTGATACAGGATACAATGAATAGCATAATTCAACAGATTATGGTACATGCTAATAATACCAACAGGTCTACAGATGAACTACTTCAATTACTGAACACTAGTCTTATTAAAGATATCAGTATACCAACTGCTGCTGCTGTTAATGATGTACTACTATTACTACAGATACAGAATGGATCTTCTTTATTTAATTCCATTAGACTTGTATCTTGTAAAGATATTAAAGCAGCTTATCCCAACAGTCCTTCTGGTTACTATTATGTTAACAGTCGCAATATATACTGCAATATGGGAGAGCTGTGTGGACAAGATGGAGGATGGACAAGAATAGCTTATCTTAATATGAATGATAGTTCCCAGAACTGTCCCTCTGGACTTCAGGAATGGCCCCCTAGCTCAGGCAATGGCATTAGAGTTTGTAGGAGAGAGAATAATTATGCTGGTTGTAGGTCTAATGTATTCCAAACAAACGGTATCAGTTATAGTCAAATATGTGGTAAAGTGGTTGGATATCAAAAGGGAAGAACTGATGGAGCCAACACTGGCAATATTAATAGTGCTTATATTGATGGAGTCAGTATCACACGTGGGTCACCTCGTCAACATGTCTGGTCTTATATAGCTGGGCATCAGTCAAACAACAATTCAAGTAATGCCTGTCCTTGTAATACTGAAGCAACTAGTACAGTTCCATCATTTATAGGAGAGGACTACTATTGTGAGTCAGGTACAAACAGTGAACCTTCAAAAAGTCAAGTATATACTGCTGATCCATTGTGGGATGGAAATAACTGTCCTTCATATGAAGTTCCTTGTTGTAATGGTACTGGTCTTCCATGGTTCTTCAGAGATTATGGTAATGCTACCATTACTGATTACATTGAACTGAGGGTGTGTGGGAATCAAGGATATGGAAATGAAGATACTCCAGTTCAATTGTATGAGATTTATGTCAAATAAAAGAATAATTAATAATTATAAGTAGTGCATTGATTTTGTTAGCAGAACATTAAATGTCATTAGTGCTGTACAGACAAATAATAATTATTTTCAAAAGTGAAAGCAAGAGATATCATAAACAATATACCACATGCTTATGCTGAAAGCAAACAAACATACTGCATATACATAGCTAAATTATGTACAGTATATTTTAAAATTGTACTATGCCAAATGCAGTACTTCTATCATTCTTTTTACTATCTATCAAAGCATCAGGTTCTACAGAAGATTCAGAATTTCAAACCAATCAGATGGTAATGTTTTTTGTAGACAAAACTGTGTGTTGAGGGTTTGGGATTTTGCTAAAGCTGGTCATAGAGACTCAACCAATCATCCACTATCTGTGGCTATTAGACACAGAACTTGAATTGAAAGCCAGCCACATGTCTTGGATTATCCATTATAGAGAATTATGGCACTGACCTGTCATTGAAATTTCTTTATGGCAATAAGAGTTGTTCTATTTTGGGCTTTTGCTGTTTGACTTTATTAGAATTGTTTTTCCATACATCCTATTGATTTTGCTTTTCTCATACCACTATATATACTGATTACATTGAACTGCATGAGGTGTGTCGTGTGTGACCATGAGAGACACAACAATAATACTCTAGTTCAATTGTATGAGGTTTATATTACAATTAATAATTATAAGTATATAGTACATTGTCTTTGTTAGTAGTTAGTTTAGAACAGTGTCATTAGAAGAAACACATAATACTTATTATTGTGTAAGTAAATCTGAGAGCAGATACATCACAAACTACAACACCTTGATATGCTATTTATAATAAAAACAAATGTGCTGTTATTCATCCAATATAAACACAAATAAAATTATATAAATAAATAGTGAAAAGCTCAAAGGTTGTTGACATATTTGAGGAAGTGTTCACTAATGATTGGAACGTTGGGACTCCATGGGAACCAAAGACCGGGAAATGCTAAAAACTTGGTTTTTGTTGAGTGACTAAAGCTGTAGACACTGTAGTACAAATACATTCGTGCTAATCTAAGATTCATTGCTATTCCTATTACTATTATTATTCTTTATAAAATACATTTATATTTAATAGAGCAGACACATAATGGAGAATGGAGGAGAGCTGTTATTGTAATTTAGTCAAAAAGGAAGTGTTTTTGTCTTAGAAAGTCATTTTATCAGTTAGCTTAAGGACAATGTATATATACACAAGTGACTGTAGACACTTTCAACTTTGTGTTACATAAATAATAATTAATACACCATTTTACAGGCGCTTTTAGTAGCAATGTATTACAGCATTGACCTGAAGTCTAAAAAATGTGAATAACAGAGATAATGTTGCAGTGCTAAAATAAGCCCAAATAAATTAAATAGAGCTTTAGATAACCATAAGCAGTGCTAGTGAAGAGATGGAAAACAAGACAATGTCAACAAGCTTTCAAAGTGAAGCTAAGGATTTCAATGAAGAAATGAAGCTAACACAAAACACAGCCTATCAACCAGTAGTAAAGACTGATACTAGTACTGAAGAAGCAATGTACTCAGATCTTCATGACTACTCAGGTATATACCATACAAGTAATTTATTATTAAAACTAATGTATGATATATTCATTAGATTATCAGCTACCAAAAGCTAATGTTAAGGATACCAAACCTCCTCAACAACCAGTGCAGTATACTGTAGGAAAGAAGTCATTTGCTGCAATAATAATTCTACTGGTGATCATAATATTCCTATTGGTAGCTATACTAGTACTTAACTTAATATCAAAAGATACTTTCATGAGTACATGTACAAGTAATGCAAGCAGTAATAGTGCTGGGCTCACTAATAGTGGTAATACTGCTATTAACTGTAACCTGTCACTGATGCAGGATACAATGAATAGCATAATTCAACAGATTATGGTACATGCTAATAATACCAACAGGTCTACAGAAGAACTACTTCAATTACTGAACACTAGTCTTATTAAAGATATCAGTATACCAACTGCTGCTGCTGTTAATGATGTACTACTAATAGTCAATGAATTACTAGAGATACAGAATGGATCCTCTTTGTTTAACATTCGACTTGTTTCATGTGAAGATATTAAAGCAGCTCATCCCAACAGTCCTTCTGGTTACTATTATGTTAACAGTCGCAATACATACTGCAATATGGGAGAGCTGTGTGGACAGGATGGAGGATGGACAAGAATAGCTTATCTTGATATGAATGATAGTTCCCAGAACTGTCCTTCTGGACTTCAGGAACTGATGACTGGAGGCATTAGAGTTTGTAGGAGAGAAGGTGATTCTGCTGGTTGTAGGTCTAACATATTCCAAACAAATGGTATCAGTTATAGTCAAATATGTGGTAAAGTGGCTGGATATCAAAAGGGAACAACTGATGCTGTTTACACTAACATCAATATTAATAGTGCTTATATTGATGGAGTCAGTATCACACGTGGGTCACCTCGTCAACATGTCTGGTCTTATATAGCTGGGTATCAGTCAAATATCAATATAGGTTCTGCCTGTCCTTGTAATACTGGAGCAACTAGTACAGTTCAATCATTTGTAGGAGAGCACTACTATTGTGAGTCAGGTACAAACAGTGCTCCTTCCCATGGTACAGTATACACTACTGATCCATTGTGGGATGGAAATAACTGTCCTTCAGTAGAAGCTCCTTGTTGTAATGGTACTGGTCTTCTGTGGTTCTTCAGAGATTATGGTAATGCTACCATTACTGATTACATTGAACTGAGGGTGTGTGGGAATCAAGGATATGAAGATGAAGATACACCAGTTCAATTGTATGAGATTTATGTCAAGTAAAGGAACAATTAATAATTATAAGTAGTGCATTGTCTTTGTTAGTAGTTAGTTTTATAGAACATTGTCATTAGTAGAAACACATAATAATTATTATTGTGTAAATAAGTCATAACCAACATTTTAAAATTGAAAGCAAAAATATCGTTACTATTTATAATGAAAGCAAATGTGCTGTTATTCACTAATAGTTCCAATATAAACACAAATAAAATTATATAAATAAATAGAGCTTTAGATAACCATAAGCAGTGCTAGTGAAGAGATGGAAAACAAGACAATGTCAACAAGCTTTCAAAGTGAAGCTAAGGATTTCAATGAAGAAATGAAGCTAACACAAAACACAGCCTATGAACCAGTAGTAAAGACTGATACTAGTACTGAAGAAGCAATGTACTCAGATCTTCAGGACTACTCAGGTATATACCATACAAGTAATTTATTATTAATATCAAAAGATACCTTCATGAGTACATGTACAAGTAATGCAAGCAGTAATAGTGCTGGCCTCACTAATAGTGGTAATACTGCTATTAACTGTAACCTGTCATTGATACAGGATACAATGAATAGCATAATTCAACAGATTATGGTACATGCTACTAATACCAACAGGTCTACAGATGGACTACTTCAATTACTGAACACTAGTCTTATTAAAGATATCAGTATACCAACTGCTGCTGCTGTTAATGATGTACTACTAATAGTCAATGAACTACTAGAGATACAGAATGGATCCTCTTTGTTTAATTTCATTCGACCTGTTTCTTGTAAAGATATTAAAGCAGTTTATCCCAACAGTCCTTCTGATTACTATAATGTTAACAGTCGCAATATATACTGCAATATCGGAAAACTGTATGGACAAGATGGAGGATGGACAAGAATAGCTTATCTTGATATGACTATGAACTGTCCTTCTGGACTTCAGGAATGGTTCCCTAGCTCAGGCAAAGGCATTAGAGTTTGTAGGAGAGAGGGTAATTCTGCTGGTTGCAGGTCTAATGCATTCCAAACAAATGGTATCAGTTATAGTCAAATATGTGGTAAAGTGGTTGGATATCAAAAGGGAAGGTCTAATGGAGTCAACAGTGGCAATGTTAATAATCCTTATATTGATGGAGTCAGTATCACACGTGGGTCACCTCGTAAACATGTCTGGTCTTATATAGCTGGGCTAAGGTCTGATGCCAATACAGGTGATACTGTCCTTGCAAGACTGGAGCAACTAGTACAGTTCCATCATTTGTAGGAGAGCATTAGTATTGTGAGTCAGGAGCAAACAGTGAACCTTCCCTTACTGAAGTATACACTACTGATCCATTGTGGGATGGAAATAACTGTCCTTCATTAGAAGCTCCTTGTTGTACTGGTACTGGTCTTCCGTGGTTCTTCAGAGATTATGGTAATGCTACCATTACTGATTACATTGAACTGAGGGTGTGTGGGAATGATAGCTGGGATAATGAAGATACTCCAGTTCAATTGTATGAGATTTATGTCAAGTAAAGGAACAATTAATAATTATAAGTAGTGCATTGTCTTTGTTAGTAGTTAGTTTTATAGAACATTGTCATTAGTAGAAACACATAATAATTATTATTGTGTAAATAAATTATAACAAACATTTTAAAATTGAAAGCAGAGATATCATAAACTACAATACCTTGGTATGCTAGTTATAATGAAAGCAAATGTGCTGTTATTCATTAATAGTGCCAACATAAACACAAATAAAATTATATAAATAAACAGAGCTTTAGATAACCATAAGCAGTGCTAGTGAAGAGTGTTATAACTGATAATGTTAATGTAAGCTTAACTATAATTATTTTCCTAGGCACTTATCGTATCATTATTATTATGATTTTTCCTCATTATTATTTTTGTACTTCTTTAAAATTTTCATTTATTATGTAAGGTTATATAATGTATGCAAGAATATTCCTTTCTAGTGTTATATAATGTTGTGCAAGATGTTTTTGTGATGTATTGATGTGTGTGCATTTAAGTGAGTGCATTCTTCAGTTTTTAATTATTGATAGAATCGTTCATTGATTCTTGTGAGACCTCTCTTTACCTTTCCTTCTCGGTCACTACAAAGAAATGGAAAACAAGACAATGTCAACAAGCTTTCAAAGTGAAGCTAAGGATTTCAATGAAGAAATGAACCTAACACAAAACACAGCCTATCAACCAGTAGTAAAGACTGATACTAGTACTGAAGAAGCAATGTACTCAGATCTTCATGACTACTCAGGTATATACCATACAAGTAATTTATTATTAAAACTAATGTANNTGATATATTCATTAGATTATCAGCTACCAAAAGCTAATGTTAAGGATACCA